TCTCTGATCAATGTCCTCATCTGTGAAATGGAGCTGCAACTCTGAACCTCACAGGGCTTCTCCGAGGACTAAATGAGAAAACCTACGTGGGAATGTCAGCCATTAGGAATCGTTGAGTAAATCCTAGATAATCCAGAAGCGCCCTTACAATTCCTCCAGTGGGGTTGGGGGAAATTGGGGTTGTGAATAACTGAGGTCTTTCTGGGAACTCCCCTGCAGGTGTTGAATTCCTCAGTGATGAGATTCAACGCAGAGATCGGGAGATTCCAAGTGAGCACTGGATGCAGGAGGAGGTTTGGTGAAACAGTTACAGAGACTCACCTGGGCTCCATGCCTGAGTCTAAGGGGAAAGGACTTGGATTTTTGTGCAGAATGATCTACATTTGGATCCACCTACTAACTGGGTGATTTAGACAAGTTATTTGGAGCCTCTACTTCCTCATCTGTAAAATGGGGATGATTAATATACTCAACCCACAGGGTCATTGTGAGGATTAGAGTGTGTTACATTTCCAAAAGTGCTGGGTACCATGTTGAAATCCCCACGTTTATACCATCATGGACACAGTTCATATCTCTGCCTCTGGGAAACGGAAGCAGAGGATCCCAAAAGGCCAAGCTAATTGTTGGAGAAACCAGAGAAAGATTGCTGCCTGTGAGGCCAGGGTAAAAAGATTTGCTGTGGAAAGACACAGGCTGAGAGATGAGGAAAGTTTACACAGTCATGAAGGGCTAAAGGAAAAGTCTCCAAATCCAGGAAGATCAGGGAGAGGGAGGGTTGCCAGATTAAATATAGGATGCTCTGTAAAATTTGAATCTTAAACAACAGATACTTTAAAAATATAAGTATGTCCTAAATATTGCATGGTTCCTCATGAAATATTGCAGGGGACATCCGTATAGTAAAAAAGTGTGGTCATTGTTTATCTGCAGTTCTAATTTTAGCTGGCATCTGTATTTTTATTTGCTAAATCTGGCAACCCTTGGAAAAGGGCCCTACCCTTGGGAAAGACAAATTTGGGACAAATCAAAGTTTCTTTCTCACTGCTTGTAATAAGCCCACGAACAGTCATGACCTGCCCCTCCCCGTCCTAACTCTCAAAATAGCAGCACAGGCTTAGAAATTAAGATTTGAGAGAAGTTAGATGGCAGAAGGTCCAAAATATGCTCTTGGCAAAGGTCACTGTGCAATTTCCTGACAATGATCAATGATATAAACTGTTGAATATGTTATGGAGTTCAGAAAAAATCTGAGCTTTTTTTAAAAAATATTACTTTTTGGGAAAATTTCAAACATACACAAAAGTAGAATAGCATCATGAATTCCCCCATCCTCATCACTCACCTTCACCAATTCGATGTCAACCATGTTTTACCTACACTTGGCCCATCTCCCCTCCCCGCACTGGATTATTTTGAATCAAATGTCAGACATTATATCATTTGATTTTTAAATATCATTTGATTTTTTAAAATTTCAGTACCTATTTCTACACAAAGCATAACCAAATACAATTACTGTATCTAAAAACTTTTGTAATTTCTGGATAGCAGTAAATATCAGTATTCTAATTTCCTTAATTGTCTTGTGAATTCCTTTTACAGTTTGTTCAAAGTAGGACCCAAACCAAGTGCATACATTGCAAATGGTTAAAATGTATTTTTAGGTGTATTTAATCTGTTGGTCCTGCCCCCTAGTTGTTTCCTTGCAGTTTACCAGGTAGTTTGTCCATAAGAGTTTTCCCTCAGTCTAGATTTTGCTGGTTGTACTTCCAGGGGATCACAAAAGAGTACATGTTGTATGATTCCATTTATGTAAAATTCTAGAAAATGCAAACCAATCTATAGTTACAGAAAGCAGACCAGTGGTTGTCTGGGGTTTGGAGAGGGTGGGATGGGGTGAAAACCCTTAGTCTCTTTGCCAACTCCTCCCTTGACCATCCTCTTCCCC